CTTCCGAGACACCAGAGTCATCAAAGCAGAGAGGCAGGTGAGGAGCCGGAGCCAAGCGGGGCACTGGGGGCCAGGGCACCAGGCCAGGTTGGCAGGGCCAGGAGCTGCTTGGACACAGCAGATCGGGGGCCGAGGGGGATGGGAGACTTGGCGGGAACGAGGCCCAGGCTGGACAGCGAAGCTCTGGGAGCAGGAGGAGGAAGCCCCCCAGCCCGCTGTGCTCTCATGCCTTTCCCAGCGGCCCCAGCGGGAGGTGGGCTGCTGTATGGTCTCACGGGTCTCATGCTGGGCCTCCAGGGTTCTCAGCCGGGTCTGTCGGGCTCCCTTTGGGGTTTCAAGGCAGTCTAGGCTTTTGCCAGGTCTGTCTGTGGGTTTTGGAAGTTTCCATCTGAGTGTTTGGGTTTTTTTCCAGCCCTTTTGTGCCTCTCTGTCCCTTTTTGGACAGACTTGTAAGAGCAGTAGGGTTGTGGGAACGCTGGAGAAGGGTCTGCAGGATGCCTTGACTAAGAGCAGCATTGTTAGAGGAGTTGGGAGGAGGGAAGAGAAAGCTTGAGGCTCCATGTGGGAAAAACTTTAAATTCTTAGAAGGATCTAAAAACGGGCTTTCTTGGAAGGTAATGAGCTCCCCAGCCCTGGAGGTCTTCAAGTAGAAGCTAGCAGAGTTCCTGTTGGAGGGGTCTAGCAGGGGTTGGACCCAATAGCCTTGGAAGGGTCCCTTCCAGCGTGGGGAGTGGGTGGTGCTTGCTGGCTGGGCAACAAGCCCCACACCTGACTGAGAGAAAGAATACTGTGTCTAGCTTGTGTCTGGCATCAAATACTACCTGACTGTGGAGATGGGAAGCACAGAGTGTCGGAAGGGCTCGCCTGCTCTTGACAGAGTGAGCGTGGCTGGCTGCCCCTTTTCCACAGAAGAAGAGGTAAGAACCATGAAGGGGCCCAGGTTGGGATTCTATCTCTTTCTGGGGGCAAACCCTTGGGCGGAGGGCTCCACACCCCTGAAAGCTGGAGGCCTCCTGAGACTCCAGGACCACCTCAAAGAGGCTGGGTGCCCCATCCCAGACAGAAAGCCCTCTCCTTAATGTCCTGCCCCAGGAATGTCTGTCTGTCTGCCTGCTGGCCGGTGTATGTGTGTGTGTCTGCCTGTCTACTGGCCAGTGTGTGTGCGCGCGCGCGCGCGTGTGTGTGTGTGTGTGTGTGTGTGTGTGTGTGTGTGTGTGTGTCTGTCTGTCTGTCTGTCTGTCTGTTTGCTGGCCATTGTCTGTCTGTCTACACTTACCTAGATGTCTTACTACCCAAGAAGCATCAGTGAGTTAAGGTTTTTGTCAGGCTGGGCCCCCCCTGCCCTCCTCCCCATGGCAGGCCCTATCCCCTTCCATACCCTTGGCCTCTGGGGTCAAGGCCAAGAGTGTTAGAGGCTTCTGATTCACCCTGATTCCTGGGCAGTGGAGGAGAGGCTGGGCACAGGAAGCCAAGACTAGCTGGGGAGGAGGGCATGGCCAGCGGCTTCCTTCCCAGTGGAGTCGCAGTAGCCAAGTTCAAATCCGAGTACTACCACTTCCTATCTGGGAGACCTTGGGCATTCTCTGCCCCTCTCTGGACCTCAGTTCCTTCTACTGTAAGGTGACCTCTCAGGTACCTTCTAGCTCTAAATCTATGGTCTGATAATTTTGCCTGGGGTAGTTACCCCGAGGTTCTGTGGCAGCTGGACTCCACCATAATGAGGCTGCAGGACAGTCATGATATCCACCTCTGCTTTCAGATATTGGAGTGGAAGGGGCTCGGCATCACTTCTTTCCCATTCTATGGAGGGGAAAAGAGGCCCAGCAAAAGGGGAGGGGGGAGGCTGTAGTCGGAGAGTCACAGGCTCTGGCCAGGCCAGCCTTGACTTCCTGCCCCACCTCGGGGGAATGGGCTGCCCCAGGAGGAAGGGGGTTCTCCCTTCCAAGAACTCTCTGGGCCGAGTCCAGATGAGTTCATTGTCAAAGGGATGCCCGGGGACCAGACACCTGACTTCTGACCCCCGGGGCAGGCAAAGGCCAGAGGGTCTGGGATGGGCAGGGGGCCTGAGGGAGAGTGAGGACCTTCTCCATCCTTTGGGCTTCTATTTCCCTAGAAACTACAATGTCAGTTTGAAGTCCTGGTGGTTCCCTGGACAAATCAGACCAGCGTTCAGAATATTTCATGTTCACCGATCTAAGAAGGCCCTGGCTTACCCCAGCACACACAGGCCAGCTCTGCAGAGAAAGGCCGGGGCAAACTGGGGGTGGATGGATCTTTCAAGGGCCCTGATGATTGAACAGTGGCCATGTTTGTCTGAATAAATTGATAAATCAATTGCCTTCTCGGATCACTTCTCCTGGCTCCACTGAGACCCCCAAGCTGGGGCCTGGAGGGGTGGAGAGGACAGGTCTCTCCCAGGAAATATTGTTAACATTTAGAGCTGACTTTGTGTCAGATTCTGTGCCAAGTGCCGGGGCTACAGTGAAAGGTTACAACAGCCAGCTTTCAGTGAGTGTACGTTCTGATGGAAGAGGATCAAGGGAGACCTATCTCTACGCCTTCCCCATCCTCCAGGGCCAGACCAGCTGAATCTCACCCTCTGCTTCCCTTGGAGAATTTTGCTGCTGCTTTGTGATATGGGCTAGACACAAGCCCTAGGTAGATAGGGCTTGTGAGGCCTTCATGGGTGGGGGGATGGGGAATGGGGGATGGGAAAAATTCCCTGGTCAAGAATCACTTCTCTCCCTTTCACCCATATCCGCCCTGCCTAGAGATCTGGACACATATACACACCTAGAGACAGTTGGACACATGTACACATACATATGTAACCACAGAACTCATGGGGCAAAGAGATGGTTCCTTAGAAGAGAAAGTACTGGCCCAGCCAGGGCAATCCAAAGCAGAATTGGGAAATGGGTGCATGGTAGGTAGGCTCTCTCCCATTGGATTCCCATGGCCAGCCTCCTCCGAACCTGCCCCCTCCCCCTCCAGCAGTGACTTCAGACTGCCAGAAGCCAAGGATGCTGGAGTTCTAGCTCCAAGGACATCTCCCCCCAAATCCCCCGAAGGTCCTTCTTGCACAATTCACTGTGGTGGTCATTGATGGTTTCACTACTGGCCTCCAGGAACAGGGCTCTAATGGTGGGATTCCAGGCAGAGTAACAGATTGGGGGCAGAGATAGTTTAGCACAGGAGACTTCTCAGAGCTTTCTAGGCCCAACAACAGAGCATTGGGAGGAGAGCCCCAGGATGCACGTGGGGAGCCCCTAAAACAAGCAGCTCTGGCCAGGGGAGGTGGGGGCGTACTGTGATGGGGCCCACCTGAATTCTGCTACTCTCTCTCCCCGAAGCCTTTCCTGCTCCCCAGCTGAATGTCCTCTTCCTTCTTAGATTTCTGCTAGCGTCCTGCCTTTTCATCCATCTTATTCCCCTCTCTGTTTTCCTTTTTTCCTCCTTGCACCCTACAACTTTGATTTGTAAATTCCCTGGTCTCATCCTGAGATTCCAAGCTGAAAAAGCTCTCATTTCCTTTTAATATTCTCCTACCTAAGTGTAGGGCCCAGTATACAGCAGGTGCTTAATAAGGCTTCACTGAATCAGATCAAACCGAAGCCATTCTGAGTTATAGGCTCATAGATTGTCAACCTGGGACCCTTGAAGCGAGGTCATTCAACCAATCAAATTTATTAAGCGTCTGTTATGTTTCACAGATAAGAAAACCGTGGCCAAGGTCCCACAGCAACAGAGTAGATGAGCTGAGTAGATACTTCAGCTGCTAAATTCCAACTGCATCACTAGCCTGATTCTTCCCTCCACTCCCAGCCCAGTGAACCCCCTTCAGTCTCCTCTCTAGCATCCCTCCATGCCAGAGCCATGCCCAAGATCCAGTTTGCCATCCTTTACTGGCCACCACTGGGTATGTCACACCTGGCACAGGTCATCTGAAGGTAGAAATGTCTATGGGTGGGGCCTCTGCCCTAGTGGAAACTGATTCAAGGCTGCGCCCTTGGAGAGGAGTGGGAGCCCAGCTGTTTTCATCATTGGCTTCTTTGGGCATCAAGCAGAGAATGGAATTTGGCACACTTGCCTGGCCTGGTGACAAGTGACTCAGGCCCAGGCGACACCTGGCCCTGGGGCATTATCTTGAGTAACCAGGGTTCTGAAGGTATGGCACCTTGTCCTCCCTGGCTCCCTAGGCCTGGGAGAGTTGGGGGCAATCACCCTCTGTATGTGGGGGCTCCTCCCCACCTGGTTTATCAGGTAGGTTCAGGGCACACCGACTGCCCTGGGCAGCTTCCAAGTCTCCAAAGGGGAGGATGGGCCTTGGGCCTTCCTCAGTCCCCACTCCTTTTTGGCCCTCTGCTGCCTGCCCGAGTTACCTTCCAAATGCCAAGGAGCTGATGCTCAGCTTGAGCCATGGCCCATCACAGGCTGACCCGAGTCCCCCAGCCTCCCCTTAAGGAACTCCTAGGAGACCTCCCTCCCTCCTGTCCACAATGGCCCCTTTCACCTGGGGGACTCCTGCTGCTCTCTAGCTGCTGGATAGAGGACAAAGCCTGCTGTGGTCAGGAAGACCCACATTCAAGTCTGACCTCAGACGCTTTCTAGCTGTGTGACCCTAGGCAAGTCCCTCCACTTCTCTGCCTCAGTTTCCTCATCTGTAAAATGGGGATAGTAATAGCAGTGGCCTCCCAGGTTTATTGCGGGGCTCCACTGAGAACAGTCACAAAACTTCAAGTCTCTTAGAAGCCAGCTTTTCCCCAGCCACTCTTGTCTCTGGCCTCTGGAGCCTGGGGCAGAGGCCCTGGCCATGGGCTACCCAGGCCCCCTGCTGGAGAGGCAAGCCAAGCTGGGGTCCCATGGCCTGGCAGAGACCTCTGAGAGAGGCTGGGCTCTGGGGGGCTCGCCAGTCTCTCCCACCAACCCCACTGAATTCCCAGCCAGTAAGGAGACGAGAGGTTAGAAACAGACTTCAGGACTCTATTATAGAGTGTTGGCTCCCTGGCAGCCCTGGCCCAAGGTCTGTCCCCAAGGCCAGGCAGGCCTGGACTGTTGCTTCTTCTGGTCACTTGGTGACTTCTCTTCACTTCTTGAAATCTTCTTCTCCGGCCTGGGAGGAAGGGGGGTGGGGTCAGGAGGAGCCAAGGGAGAATGGTACCCCATCTCCACCCCCACCTGGGGCCCTCACCTCCCCCTACTCCCACCCCTGCCTGGGGCCTCCACATCCCCCGACCCGACACCACCTGGGCCTGGGCTCCTCCCTTCTAAGGAGCGTGCCCCTGACCGGCCTCCTCAGCTCACCTCAAATACGGTGTCAATGATCTTGTCAATGACAGCCGCCTGTGAGCGGAACACTTGCTGGTGATGCTCCACGGCCGCCATCAGCTGGAGATAGTGGAACATTTTGTCCTGCTGTCTGGGAGAGAGAGGTACAAGTAACCCTCAACAGGGCAAGTCCCACACCCATGTCTCTGGGGAAGCCACCAGCTTATGGGTGACCTCTGCTAAAGCCTGGCCCCTCCCAGAACACCGACACCCCCCCCGAGCTATTGGGCAAGGATTATTGCTCCCATTTTACAGATGAGGAAACTGAGGCCCAGAGAGGGGAAGTGAGCTTGCTAAAATGGTAGAGGACAAGAAATGAAGAGCTATGTGGTGTATACAGGTGTATACAGGGGTGGGCATGCCTAGAGGCAGCAGCAGGACATTTGTCTGTCTCCAGCTCCTCAGCTCCCAGCCCTCAATACCATCTGCAGGAGGCGCGCCCCTCCCCACCGCCTTCTCCTGCATGGCTGGTGCTGGATAGGGCTCGGGAGCTCCTGAGCGCATGGACCTGGACTCCAAACTCAGTCTCTTTCCTTTACACGGAGCGGCTATTCCAAAGTGAGGGGGTCAGACCAGGCAGAATCTCTGGGTTCTAAGGTCTACTCCCAGCTCTGACATTCTCTGTTCTCAGGGCCCTCCCAGCTCTGACATTCTCTGTTCTCTGTTCTCAGGGCCCTCCCAGCTCAAATGTTCCATGAATCATTAAGGTTGGGCTAGGATGCCCCTTCTGCCCCTTGAGATGGCAGAGCTGGGGGGTCTGGGCAGAAACGGGACCCAGGGAGCCATAGCTGGGGAGCAGATACTGGCTGCCTCCTTTAGACACACAACCCTTCCCCATACAGCCTTCCTTCCTCCCTAGGCTACTCGCCTCCCTACACAGTGGTTTCCTTGAGGGAAGAGCAGACCTTGGACATGTAAATAGTTCAGACCATGAATGAGCCAGTCAGATTTGGAGGGGGCACTGTTCCCCCCCAATCTACACATCCTTCAATAATCCCTCTCCCCAACCATCCTAGCCCCCCAAGGATCAGTCAGTCAATAGCCCAAGCTCCCACATCCCCCCTCACCTCCCCTGCCCCCCCCCTGCCCAGGGGCCATCCCTAGGACAACTTGGACTTCCAGAGTCACCTCAGACAAGTGGGAAGAGCCCTGAGCCTTGGAGTTGAAGAGCTGGATTTGAATCCTGACTCTGAGACTTTCTCCTCTTTCTGATCTAAAGCAAGTCCCTTTCCCTTTCTGGTCCTGAGCACCCTCCTTTGTAAAATGAGGGGGCCAATCTCTAATTCTTTAGGGTCTGTCTCCTCAGTGACTGGGCTCCCTCAGGGCCAAGGTCATTTCTCACTTTCCGTTGGACCCCATCTAAGTACTCAATGAAGCCTCCTTGGATAGCCGGTCCTATTCTCTGAGGGTCTGGGGCCTTCCTCCTTTCTGCCTGCCTCCTTTCTCTTCTTGCCTACTGATCCACTGACTCCTCCCTGGTCTTTCTGTCCACTCCCCAGGTGCCCGGGCCCAGGAGCTTCCCCTTACGTGGAAGTCAGGTCCCCATATTTTTTCTCAATTATGTGCATTTGTAGAGAGCTATCACTCATGGTCTCTTCCATTTCTGTGAGGAGAGAGGTCAGGAAGACGAGTGAGAGGCAGCCCCTCATCACCCGTTGCTATTCAAGCAGAGCTTGGAGGGGATTCCAGCATGGGCCCGAGTTGGGCCTGGACGTGCCTGACCTCCCTCAGGTCTGAGAGTCTAGACTCTGAGAGTCTAGGCTGCGGAGTCAGAAAGCGGTGCTTAGAGGTGCCAGAGGTGACATGTGGCCGGCAGGCAGGTGGGTGTTGGTACCTGTGCCCAGGTTCGTCAGAGACTCGTCCAGAAGCTTCTCATGCATCCGGGCTACTTTCTAGGAGTGAGTTGGAAGACAGAAGTTAATTCTTCCCTCTCAGACTCCCCCAAGAGATGGCCTTGCCCATCCCCACCCTAACTAGGTGCAATCTTAATGATCACACTTGGCCCTGACAACGAAAGGAGCTCACCTGCCCTCCTCCCTTGGCCGAGGTGGGGGACTATGGGGTTGGAACATTGCATAGATGGGTCAGTGCATGTGCTGGATTGGGTGGTTATTAGTTCGGCTGGATTGTTTGTCTGTCTGTCTCCCTCGGTTAAAGGAGGCTGGATATGTTTGGTACACGTGCGCACACACACACACGATAAAAAACAACTAATATCTACACACATTTTTGTCAAAGGGGCTGAGATGGTGGGTGTGGGCAGATGGCAGGGGGCAGGGAAGTGGCAGTGACCACCCATCCTTGACGACAGCCAGGGCTGTGGAAGGAGGCACAGGCTAGGGGCCTTCCCAGTTTCCCTGGATACATGTGTCCCTCTACCAACTGTGAGAAGATGCCTGTGTAGAGGAATAAACATAGAGCAGGGTGAAACCCACTAAGTACAGCAGAGCTCAAGCTGAGGGGGCTCCTTGGCACGAGTTTCTTGGCTTAGAGATCGGGCCCCGAGGCTCTGGTCCCTCAGCTTTGGCCCAAGCTCCCATGAAGGCTGCATCTGGAGGGGAGGCATTCCTGGGGTACATATATATATGTGCACGTATGTGAGTGTATGAGTGTGCCCCCACGCTGCCTGCTCAAGGCCTTCTGGAGACAACCAGACCCTTCTTCCTTTCTGTGTATCCGACAATCAAACCAACCAGGGGGAGGCTCGTGTCCCACCTGGGGGGGGGTCTAACACTTAGCACAATGCTTAGCACACAGTAGGTGCTTCATAAATGTTGACTAATTGATGCTTTGAATTGGCTCAAGACACACACTTTTTCTCTTCCCCTGCCCCCCACCCCAATCCCCAGTACCTTCTGCTTCTCCTTTTCCAGCTCCTTGAGTAGGGCCATCTGGAAATTATCCACCAGCACTGCAATCACTAGGCTGTGAAACACTGGAGGATGAGGTCCAAAGGCCCTGGTGCAAGGGCAGGGCCACCAGGGAGGGCAGCAGACATAGAAGGGAACAGGGGCTCCCCTGGTGAGTTCACAGGCAGAGTAGGGGCTGAGCTGGGGTTTGTCTGGGGAGAGGGCCAGGTCCTGGAGGGGCTTGGGCCCGAGGGCTGGAAAAGGAGGGTGTGGAAAGCCCCAGGGTGGAGCAGGGGAAGGTGGCTAGGCAGCCTCAAGGTGGGGAGGAGAGAGAGGGCTTGGTTTCTCACTTGAGGAAAATGAAGTCTTGTATAATGATGTAGATCATGAGGATGGGGATGATATACCAGGCACCTGGGGAGGAAGGGCCTTAACTTCACACTCAGAACAAGTATCATAGACCAGGTTTGGGGCCAGTAACAGGAAGGAAGTATGTCCGTAGTTGGAGGGAGGCAGAGCAGAGTGGGGAGGGGGAGAGTTTTCTATCAATTTTTCTTTCCAACTAGATGCTGTGCTATTGTTTCTGCACCAGCACTCTCTGAATTTTGACTCTGGGCCAAGGTCCCCGTTTACCCCGCTCTGTTATTTATGGCTCCTGCTCTGAAGCTGGAGAGAATGCCCAGCCTTCACACCTGTGTTGGACCCATGCCCACCTCCCAGCCCCTCCAAGGGCTCGGGCCTGTTCTCCACTACCTTTTGCCCGGCTGTCCAAGTAGATGAGGGACCAGTCATCCAGGGTGAGCAAAGTAAAAAGAGTGAAGATGGTGGTAAAGATGTTCTGGAAGTGCTTGGGGTCCGAATGGCTGAACAGGGCTCGAAGTATCACGGAGAAGAAGACTGGGAGGCTAAGGAGGCCCCTGGGGCCCTTGTAAAACTGGCCAGCCATCCCGCCCCCTGCCCAGTCCTAGCCGTCTTGCCCCTGGTAGCCTCCGCCCTCCCTGGCTACCCCGTCCTTCCCCAGATACAGAGGCAGGTGAACATCAGGACGAGGATGGCCCCGATGGATGGCAGCGACCGGGCCAGAGTCCCTGTCACCTCCTGGAGGCTGTTGAGGAAGCTAAAAGCAGGAGGAGAGGCAGACGAGATGGTCAGAGGGGAAAGACTGCGGAGGCCTTGCTGGCCACCACCAGGCTGGGGCATCACCAGGAGGCCTGGGCTCTCACCCCTCCGGAGCCTCTGTCTGGGACCTCTGGCTTCAAAGAACCTTTGAACCAGAAAGGGTTTTAGGGCAAAGAACAGGTGCGGGAGCAGGACAGAGAACAGAAGACATGAGAGGGGCAGGAGAGCATTGAAAACACAGTGGGAAAGCTGGAAGGAACTTTGGTATGGGAGCTGATGACCTGCAATCCACAGGAACACAGATTTCAAGTGGGAAGCGAGGACACTTCTGGCCCAGCCCCTTCATTTTACAGATGGAGACACTGAGGAACGTGGACGTTCGTTCAGGAATGAGATCGTGGAAGGCACACGTAGGGCCTCTAGTTCGCCTCCCTGACTAAGGCCCAGAGGAGAAGTGATTTGCCCAAGGTTAGGAGTGAGTGCCAGCTGTGGGATGTGAAGTCAGGGGTCTGACTCCAAGCCTCACACTCTCTCCAGCTGGTGCTGGCCCAGCTCCTGGCCTGGAAGGAGCGGAGGGCCCGCCTGGCCTCACCTGAGCCTCCGAAGCACCATTATAACCCTCAGGGCTCGAAGGCTTTTGAAGATCTTCAGGATTCGGAAGACAGTCTTGCTCTGGACCATTCTATTGGCACTGGAGAAGTAGAACTGTTTGAGCATGAAGTCCACTGCAGCCACGACTAGGATGAAGAAGTCTGAGGGGAGGCAGGGGCCACAGTGCCATCTCAAGAGCCCAGCCCGCAGCGCTCCGGCTGCTCGTCAGGAGTGATGATGCTGAGCCAGCTGCCTCTTTTAAGCTGGGGAAGTGCCCATCCCTCTTCTGTCCTTTGAACCTCACAGTCACCCTGGGAGGGAGCTATTGCAGGCATCGTTATGCCCACTCTACAGATGAGGAAACTAAGGTTTCGTAGGGAAATGACTTGCCCAGGGTTGCACAGCTAGTCAGTGCCAGAGGCAGGATTTGAACACAGGTCTTCTGCCTCTGGGATTCAGTGCTCTGACCACTGAGTTGTGGTGTCTCTATCTTTTAAAGCAAGCTCCTGGGCAACACTGAAGAGCCTCTTTTCCCCATATCTAAAAAGCGCTCACCCTCTATTCTAACCCCTTTCCAGACCTGGAAGACCACTCCCTGGAGAAAATGGCAATTCATCACCACCGCCACCCTGTGCTCAGTCCCTTTCTTGTTGGGTGGTACCACGTTCCTAACTTCAGCCATCCCTCCCCTTCCCATCCAACCCAGGGCCCCAGCCCCACCCACCTAGGCTGTTCCAAGAATCGAAGTAGCCAAGTCCCATGGTCATAATCTTTAGGACAGCTTCCATAAAGTAGATGGAGAGGAAGATGGAGTCTAAAGCTGTGAAGTACCATTCTGTGGGGGGTCAGACCCTCAGCTTCACTGTAGGCCCAGCCTTCTCCTGAAGCCCCCTCCCCACCTGCTCTGCATACTTCCTCCCTCTGCCCTCACCCAACCACCTGCTTGCTCTTTTCAGGTAGGAGCTGAGTCTTTCCAGGATATGAGAGTCCATGAGAGTCACCTCTCCTCTTGGATAGTAAATCCAAAATGACGTATGTATCAGGATTACTTATTAGTTACTGTGTTTTTCTTTCAGGATGTAAGTAAGCTGAAGTTCCTCTATTTTTTCCAGTCCCCCTTTATCCTGGATACATTCTAGGCCCATAGACTTCTTTTTTTTTTTTTTTGGTGAGGCAATTGGGGTTAAGTGACTTGCCCAGGGTCACACAGCTAGTAAGTGTCAAGTGACTGAGGCCAGATTTGAACTCTGGTCCTCGTGACTCCAAGGCTGGAGCAGTATCCACTGTACCACCTAACTGCCGCAGCCCATCGACTTCTGCTCCATCAGACTAGTGTCTGTGAGTTCCACCCATCCATTTCAATGCCTATAGTATTCTCTGCGCTCTTCTGATCAGAGTGTCAGAGTGGCTGAGATGTGGGTGCAACTGGTGGCAGCGGGCCCGCCTGCCTCCTGTTTGGGGCTCAGGAGAGTCAAGGCCTCCAGGCTAGTGTTCCTAAATTGGTGCTGAGGCTGTAAAAGTAGAAGGGCAAGGCAGGGGAGACCTTACTGTGTCAGAGCAGTGAGGCTCTAAGGGGTCTGGTGACCCAGGTGGGGCTGTCTTGGGTTGGCCTGGGGACAGTGGCGTGGGTTTGGTTATCCTTGAACTTCCTGACGTCTGAAAAGCACTTGCTATCTGACTTGCACCGCTGGGAGTTAAGAGGCTACAATTCACAAATGAGGAAGCTAACTCAGAGAGGGTTCCACTCATCTACAAGTCACCCATTCTGCTACGTCACTTGACCTCTGCAGATCTAAGAGGGGAGACAATACTCAGACAACTCTGTACAGACAAGAACTCAAGGGGGTGAATTAGGGTAGCCTCAGAGGAGGGAAGGAGGCCTGGGAAAGGCTTCTTGCAGAAGGGAGGCCTTGAGCTGAGACTTGAAGGAAGCCAGGGGGCAGAGGTGAGGAGGGTGAGAGTTCCAGGCTTGGGAATTGCTCCCTCGTTCTCATCTCTAGGCCCGTTTATCAGTAAGCCATTTCTTCCTCTATATACCAAGCTATATACCAATTGAATACCAGTCATGTCCGGTTACTGGGGCTCTCTCTGGTATCTTGGAGAGCTAAGAGCTTTCCCAGTATACTTGGATGACCCTCCAAACCCATGCCCTGCCCACCTCCTCCATGCAAAATCTTCCGGGTAGCTGAAGATGGCTCCCCTGGTCCTCATCGGCTCCCTGGCCCTTTCTGATGGCCCTAGGAGTTTGAGAAGCCCTGAACCCAACTGACCAGACTGGAGTCAGGTAGGTCTCTCCCAGCCATCCCCAGGTTCTTGAGGCTCTGCAGTCCCTTCCTCAAGGATGCTTACCTCCCCAGATCTCTACCTCAGCAAAAGTCTGCACCACCAGGACCAAGGTGTTAAAACAGACCACGGTGAAGATAAAGATTTCAAAGATGAGGCTCTCGACCATGATGGCCAGCATGACTTGGATATGATGTAAGCCTTCATAGATCTTACCACAGCACTTTTGTAAAAGCTCATCAGCCGCCATCTGCTTCTTGTGGACACGTTGGACCCTGGCTACAAGGGCAGGAGAGAGGTCAGGCTCTGGGCAGTGATGGTGCCAGGGCGTGGGATCTTCAGTGGGGGCTCTGAGATTTTCAGTAACAAAGTGTGCAGGGGCCCTGGTACGGTCACTACCCATGAGGCAGGATAATTCACAGCAAGAAGGCATTCTGTCACAGGAGGGCACCCGCTTCTCTCCCACTCTCAGACTCATCTATTTCAATCTGGAAGAGGCCACTCCCCTTCACTATACGGAGGAGGATAGAAGCAGTAATGGGGAGGAACCTCTGCTCTGGGGCTCTCTAAACTATATGTGAGGGGAGACTGACAAAAAAAAAAAAGGAGAAGAGTAGCCACGTAGACACTTGGGGAAATGCTTTGTCTGAGGCTGTGCTGAGTGCTGCCTGAGGTCTTGGGCACAGAAGGCAGTGAGCTGAAGGACTGGGCAATGATGGTTTTCTGTCTCGAAGCCAGGGATAGCCATGCCCTTGACAGCCTTCTAATATTCCCTTGACTATGCCTGAGAGGATGGTCCAGCAGGCCTACAGAGAGCAGGACCCAGACCCAGGTACTTCTAAGTGGAAGCGAGGCTCCAGGCTGGGGTTTCTCAGGCCTAAGGACCCACGGGTAGGTAGTCTTACCCCTCTTAGTTCTCACGTGGCGATCTAGATCCCAGCTTTGGCCCATGGAGGTATACGATGGCTGAATTTGGCTACTACTCTGAGAGGGCTTGCTCTTTAGGCTTGTGTGGCCCCATGAGCTGTGGGAGGCTTTGGCCAGGTGCTTAGAATGGCTAGATCTGCTATGTGGTATGACTGGGGCAGCTGTGGTGGGGGCTGAAATAACTGGCGGAGTGGCTGGAGGTTCAACGACCTCCCTCCGGGTCTCCTCTGGAACGGTTAAGTAATTCATCTTGGACAGGAGCCCTGGAACGGAGACAAGAGTGACCGGTGTTCCGCTTGGGCGCCTCTAGACCCGGTTCTCCTTGCCCTCCCCACTCTCCCATCAACCCCTCTTTCCTCACCTCAGTTCATCCGAGGGACTTGTGGGGTCTCACGTTCTATGGAGGGGCCTGGTGGTTTCCATGGAGACCCTTCTGTGGTGTACAGGCTCGGTCCATCCGCTAGAATGCTTTTCACAGAACCCTAGAATCTCAGAGACCATTAAAGGTTATCAGGCCTAAGTTTACGTCCCCAACAAATTGTCATCTACATTTTACTTGCAGACCTCCAATAACAGGGTGCTCGAAGATAATTAGGAAGGTCTGAATTCAAATCCAACCTCAGAGATCTACCAGCTGTGGGACCCCAGACAAGTCACTTCACCCCGCAAAGCCTAGCTTCCTTATCTATAAAATGGGGATTGTTGTTGTAAGGATAAAATGAGAGAATATTTATAAAGTGCCTCACAAAGCCGTCTAAATGCTGCCGAAGTGGTGCCAGCAGCAGCAGCAGCATTACCACCAAGGCGGCTCCTTCCACTCCTGTACTGTCTTCATCATTAGGCAGTTCTCAGCACATCAGCCTCATCTGACACTCGGAAAGTCACCTTCATTTCTTCCAGCCAGTGTGACTGGCCTCCTGGGCCCTGGCCTGCAGAATGATCGCTAGCTCCTGCGGGAGGAGTGGGAGGCTGTTTGAGTGGAGCTGAAGCTCTCTCAGGACCAGCCCTTGTCGGGCCAAGCGGAAGGCTGCTGATTCCCCTTCTCTTGGACAGCCCGTCAGATTCTTGAAGAGAGAGGCAGCTAGGTGGTGCAGTGGATAGAGATCCAGCCTTGGAGTCAGGAGGATCTGAGTTCAAATCCAACCTCAGACACTTGACACTTACTGGCTGTGTGACCCCGGGCAAGTCACTTAATCCCAATTGCCACACACACACACACACACACACACAAAGCAGCAGATTCTTAAAGACAGCCATCTCAGAAATGGGGTGCTTAGAAATGAACCCCCCATTCCAGAGGGTCTGGGGGTCTGACCTGAGCAGAGATGAGAAGGATAGTCATCTTTCCTTTTTCTGGATGCATTCTCCCAGTGCCTTTCAGATAAACTGCTCTCTAGGCATGCCATCTCCAGCTAGACCTCTGGAGTTCTTTTAAACAAATGAAAGAGGTTACATTTACAAAACCACAGAGTTTTAGCATCAGAAGAAACCTCAGCGTTCATGCCCCCAAAGCCCATCTCTGCTACCACGTGATAGACAGATAACTGATTATCCAGCCTCCAAGCAGGCTGAAGGTGCCATGCTGAGGCCCAGGCTACAGTAGGGTACATACAGTCGGGAGGTTTTCCTTGCCCTTAAGCCTACGGGAAACTCTTCACAGCTTCTAGCTAATTCTTGAGGGCCAAACACAATAAATCTGAGCCCTTCCCTTCTCCACATGATGGTCTTTCAAATACCTGAAGATAGCTGCCCAGGCCTTCTTTAGTTTTTAAAAATAAATTTATTAGTTATTTTAAACATTTTTAAAAAATTTTGAATGCCAAATTCTCTCCCTCTCCCACCCACTGGGAAGGCAAGCAAATGATGTCAATTATAAATGTGAAATCATGCAAAACATTTCCATATTAGCCATATTGTGAAAGAAAGGAAGGAAGAAAGAAAAGAGCAAGAACATTATACTTCAATTTGCACTGAGTTCACCAGTTCTCTCTCTGGAGGTGGACGGATGGCATTTTTTCATCATGAGTTCCTTGGAATCGTCCTGGATCACTGTGTTTATTGATCAGAGTAGCCAAGCCTTTCACAGCTGATCATCATTACAATATTGCTGCTACTGTGTGCAATGATCTCCCCATTCTGCTCACTTCACTTTGCATCAGTTCATTCAAGTCTTCTCAGATTTCTTTGAAGCCATCCCCCTCATCATTTCTTATAGCACAGTAGTATGCCATCACAATCATATACCATAACTTATCCAGCCATTCCTCAGCTGATGGGCATCCCCTAGATTTCCAGTTCTTTGCCATCACAAAAAGAGCTGCTATAAATGTTTTTGTACATATAGATCCTTTTCCTTTTCCTTTGATCTCTTTGGGGTAGATACCTAGTGGTGTTATTGCTGGATCAGAATATGCAGTTTTATAGCCCTTCGGGTATAGTTCCAAATTTTTTTTCCAGGATGTTTGAACCAGCTCCCAACTCCACTGGTACTTTATTAGTGTATCTGTTTAGTTGCATTAGTGTCCCAATTTTCTCTCATCCTTTCCAGCATTTGTCATTTTTGATAGGTGTTAGGAGGTACCTCAGAGTTGTTTTAATTTGTATTTCTTTAATCAGTAGAGATTTAGAGCATTTTTTATATGACTGTAGATAGCTTTGATTTCTTCTTCTGAAAATTAATTACCTTTTCATATCCTTTGACCACTTATCAATTGGGGAATGGCTCTTATTTTTATAAATTTGACTCAGTTCTCTATATATTTGAGACCTTTTATCAGAGAAACTTGCTGTCAAAATTTTTGATATTGCTTCATTTTCTATGGTACCTTTTAGCAAAATGTAGTTTCATTGTGAGGAAATTATGGAATGAATTATCTCTTTTAATTAGATCTCTTCTTGCTTTAGCTTTGTCTGAGATCATGATTGCTACTTCTGCCTTCTTTTGGTTCAGCTGAAGATATCAGATTCTGCTTCAACCCTTTATTTTAACTCTGTGTGTGTCTTTCTGTTTCAAGTGAATCTCTTGTAAATAACATATTGTTGGGTTCTAGTTTCTAATCCATTCTGCTATCTGCTTCTGTTTTATGTGTTAACTCATCCCATTCACATTCACAGTTATGATTACTGTGTTTCCGTCTATCCCATTTTCTTTTGTTTATCCTCTCTCTCTTTCTCTTTTTATCCTGACCCTCCTCAAAAGTCTGTTTTGCCTCTGCACACTGCATCCCTTAATCCACCTTCCCTTTTATCATCCCCTCCCCCCATTTCTCTTACCTCCTTCCCCTCCTATTTCCCTAGTGGGTAAGACAGACATCTATACCGAATTGAGTATGTACATATATTCTTCCCTCTTTGAAACAATTCCAACGAGAGTGAGATTCAAACATTGCTCACGACCACCTCTCTTTTCCTCTTCACTATAAAAGCTCATCCTCGTGTACCTCTTTTATGTGAGAAAATATTTTTCATTCTACCTCTTCTGCCTGGCCATTTCTTTTTCTCGCCCCTTCATGTGTGTGTGTGTGTGTGTGTGTGTGTGTGGAGGGGGATCATCTCAGCACAGCTGATTTGTATCATGCCCTCTGTCTATGCAGACTCCTTCTAATTGCCCTAATAATGATAAAGCTCTTAGGTGTTACATGTATCATCTTCCCACATAGTAATATAAACAGTTTGAGTTTATTGAATCTCTTTTGCCTCTCTTATGTCTTGTGTTTGAAAGTCAAATTTTCTACTAAACTCTGGGCTTTTCATCAGCAATGTTTGAAAGTCCTCTATTTCATTAAATATCAATTTTTCCCCCTGAAAGATTACACTCAGTTTTGCTGGGTAGGTTATTTTTAATTGTCATCTTAGTTCCTTTGCCTTCTATAATATCATATTCCAAGCCCTCTGATCCTTTAACGTGGAAGCTGCTAAATCTTGTGTGACCCTGACTGTGGCTCCATGATATTTCAATTGTTTCTTTCTGGCTGTTTGTAACATTTTCTTCCTGACATGGGAGCCCTGGAATTTGGCTATTCCTGGGAATTTTCATTTTCAGATCTCTTTCAGGTGGTGATCAGTGGATTTCTTCAATTTCTATTTTACCTTCTGGATCAATATCAATATCTAGGCTCTTTTTTAAAAAAATTTCAGGTAGTTCAATAATTCTTGAAATATTTCTCTTTGATCTCTTTTCCAGGTCAGTTTTTTTTTTCAATGAGATAGTTCATATTTTCTTGTATTTTAAAAAAAATTCTTTTGATTTTGCTTTATTGTTTCTTGATGTTTCACTTGCTCAATTCTAATTCTTAAGGAATTATTTTCTTCAGTGAGCTTTTTTACCCCTTTTTCCAGTTGGCCAATTCTGTTCTTTAAGGAGTTTTTTTTTTCTTCGTTGAATTTTGTACCTCTTTTACCATTAATCCAATTTTATTATTTAAGGTGTTATTTTCTTCTTTTGTGCATTTTTTTTTACCAAGCTGTTAATTCTCTTTTCACAATTTTTTTGCATTGTTCTCATTTCTTTTCCAAATTTTTCCTCTCCTTTTAATCTCTTTAACTCTTTGAGGAATTCTTATTGGGTTTGGCTCAATCTTACTTTGAGGCTTTGGTTGTAGCTGTTTCCACATTGTTATCTTCTTCTGATTTTATGTCTTGGTCTTTCCTGCCACCAAAATAGCTTTTTATGATCAAGTTATTTTATTTTATTTTATTTTATTTTATTTTATTTTATTTTATTTTATTTTACTCATTTTTCCCAGCCTACTTCCTGACTTTGAACTTTATGTGAAAGTTGGGCTCTGCTCACTTGGGGTGGGGAGGCACTGTCCCAGTCTTAGGCTTCTTTGTGCTGTTATTTTCAGAGCAAGTTCTGGGGGTCTGCAAGTTTTCAGCACTTCAAAAGTGGTGTAATCTGGTGAGAGGTGTGGTCACTGCTCTTCTGGTCTGTGCTCTGGTCTTTACTCAGGAAGAGCCCCTGCTCCCCTGCAGCCACAAGCATTAGCACTTCTCTTGGTCCTGCAAATATGACCAGGACCCTTACTCTTCTGCAGCCATGAGCCCTAGTGCTCCTCTTGGCCTGGGAACTGTGACCAGGGCACCTGCTCCCTTGTGATGGACCATAAGCATTCCTCTCTACCTTGGAACTGTAATCCAAAACAGCTATGGTCAGTAGAGTTGCCAAGCAGTGCCAGCTGTACCCAGTGCCAACAAAGTATCCCCTGTAATCTCTTTCTGACCAGTTGTCCAACTCCTTCCCCATCTCTGGCCTGAGAGCCTCTGAAGCTGCTGCTGCTGCAGCCACTTCCAAGGCCCTCTGCTGATATTCTAGCAGACTTGATGCCCCCCAGCCTAGTGTCCCAGATATCTCCTGTAGACCTCTTAAACTGTCTTGGGTTGTAAAATATCTCACTCTGACCTTTTGTTGGCCCTGCCACTCCAAAATTTGTTCTG